ACAAGGACTGAAAGATGGATGCTCGTTTATTGGACTTACATCCTTGTCTCCCTATAGTAGATCTTTTAGGACACATTTGAGGAAGAGAACCTACGATCTTCTTGAGATTTCTCTCGATTCAGACTTCAATAATTCAGATGCTTTATTTACGTTTTAATTGGTATATTCATATGGAGATTAGGACACCTAGCATCCTACTGGATTACAATGACATCCAGATTATTATTAAGATACTTAGTTAAATCTAATCGTAGCCTTGGACTTGGTTTAATCTAATCGTAATCTTGGACTTCTTTGTAAATGAGTCCATCTTAACTTTAATTTTTAGAGATATAATTCAAAAGATAGATGCTGCCATGGAAGTCTTATGCTTCTTGCGGTGGGTCCCACATACACATAACTTACCAGAGAACTCGTTTAAGCTGGGCTGTAACACGTATCTTCAGTTAAAATAATTATAAGTATGAACTCGATATGAAACTGATCAAGTAAGAAGAAAAGGACGGAGACAGGTCAACAATAAGATAAATGAAACAATAAAAGAGATGAAAACTCACTTGAGAAGTTCACCAACATAAGTCAACCACACACCCAAAGAAAGGCCCTGTTCATCACCAGCAAGAGCCTTGAATAGATTATGCACTGTTGACCGGTCAGCCACACCAGAAACAGCAGGAGCAATACGAATAAAAGCTTTTTCTCCCACAAGTTTTCCCTTTTAACAACAATAAAGAACTTCTTTCAATCCAAAACACGACTCCTTTTTTCAAAGTATTGAAAGAGAATCTCATCAACAAACAAAAAACAAAGGAGATGAGTGAATTCCAGTAAACCACATACAGCTAAACAATAGTTTCTTATGAAAAAGACAGAAATATAGAAGCAGTAGAAAAGGGTACAAAAGCAGAGGATAAAAGTCCTAAGCCAACAAAAGGAGCAAAAAAAATATTTTGTTGGCTTAGGAGGATTTTAAAAGTAAATATATTTTAAAAAAAGAACATAATAATCAATATAAAGCCCAGCAGAATAATAGTTATGTTCCATGTATAAAATCTTCCAGTGCAACAATGTTTAGAGAGATTGTATGCCTTACTATGCTTGAGAGAGAAAGTGAGAGATTGTAGAGAGTGAAAGTGTTCGACTGGATGAAGAAGGTTAGGAAACAGAACGGGAAAAACAGCTAAAGAGAGATTGGGTTAGAAGAAGGGAGGGAGACTAAATGTGGTTGGTCAGAGAGGCCGACCACATCGAATGCACGATGTCTTCGGATCCTAACAGAAGATTCGTCCTGATTGATAGCAAATCTTTTGACATAGTGTGCGAAGGGAAAACCTTGGAAGGACTGAGAATATGTGAGAACAGGGAGGGGTTACAGAGTAACTATTTCAATGGACAAGGAGGATGTCAAATGGTTAGTTGATTCTCTGAGTGATTTCTACTGGAACAAGGGAGGAAAATATTGGGGGAAAAACAAAATCGGTAGAACCCACAGGTTGTGGGTGGTCTGAATCACATTCTATAGAAGCTTTTTTAGAATAAAAAGAGAATCAACCTTAATGCATTTCGTTCTCTAATAAAAAATTAGTTTTAAAGCAAATTGTGGAAAACAAAGTACATGACTACATGTTTCAACCAAATCAACTCATAAGTAGCAAGAGTCACAACTCAACATTCTGACTCAGCACTAGATCTGACAACCGCAGCCTGCTTCTTACTCTTCCAGGACACCACTTATGTTAAATCAACAATCAAAAGTGGAGCAGCCTAACCAACATTTGCATATCCCTGAATTAAAGTATACCCATGATTCTTATAGAACAATCGACGACCTTTGGCACCTTCAGAATGTCTTGATATGTATGACCTCCTCCTAATGACTAGTCCAAAGAGAAACAGTAAATTAACTTACAACATTTGTGCCAAATGAAACATCTAAACGAGTCACACTGAGATAATTCAATTTCCAACTTGCCTCCTATACACACCGAGGCTCTCCAACAGTTCCATGTCATTTATAGCGAATTTGAAATTAAAATCCTATCAGTATTGTTATGGATGCTTTCATTGGGAAAGCTTATGGTAGGCATTTTAAGGAAAAAGCTGCATAAAAGGAAACTTAGGGGAGAGTTTCTAATTAGGAATATTTCAAAACTAGCTCGTTTCTTAATAGTGTAGGACTTTTATTTTCAGTAGTTGTTTCCTCTTCAAGTTTATTATTTCCTATCTAGTTAAGCTTCCTAATAGGCTATGTAACATCTATTTAAAGAGATTTTGCTCTATCAATAAAATAAGTCAGAATTTATACTCTAAAAAGATGGGATCTCCCTAAGAGGCTCAAGATGACAGCTCCCTCTTGATGAGCTGTAGGTATTCTCAAAGATAGTTCTTAGCAGGAATAAAAACAAGGGTGTTAACCCCTTGAGCGAAGGAGATTTTGCAGTCAACCGCCCGGTGACAAGATCTTGGGTCAAGGAACACAAGTATCAACTAGTTTAGACCCCATCATCCTTTTTGAGGAGATCAGAAGCATATTCTCTCTACCCAAAAATTTCTTAATTTTGAACTAGTTACTTTTTTTTATAAAAGAGGAAATTTTATTAGGAGATGAAAAAAATTACCAATTTGGAGAATAAAACATCCACCTCAAAAAATTTATAAATATATAAGCCCTATCTTAATGCACAAAAAATGATCTCTATGTTCTATGTATAATAGCTTCCCAATTTTGATGGGCCGCCAAAAGACTGTTAGGGTAATGTCCATGTGCTTTTACCCATAAGGTTACCACGAAAGTTGTCCTCTCCCATATCTCATAGTGGGACATTGATCGGTCATAAAAGTGTCAACAATTCCTTGTGAGCCGAATACTTCATAACCCTACAAAAATTGTTCTTTGCCAAAGCAACTTAGCTTCTTTTCTTACTCCTACCCCTTATTAGATTTGAGAAGGAGAAACCACCCAACTCAGGCCTAACAAGTTGATTAAATTTGACTACCTACCTTAACATCCGAAAATTGATGTAAAGGTCCCCAATCTAATTTGGAATCAACTTTAAAGGAAAAACTCCAACTCTTGAATTTTCTCACCGTGATGCAAAAAGTAATAATTTTCCAACAGTAGAGCATCGATAGAAAATAGAATGGCCAACTCCATTTCGATGTACATCAAACTTCATTACTACTTTGCTAAACTTTCCAAACAATGTTCTAGACGACTGTTTTAATACATATATAGATTTCTTTCCTCAATAAACCAACTTAAACTTCCCCTAAGCAACAAATCTAGGAGGTCACTCCATGTAAGAGGTTTCCTTTAAGCTACCATGTAAAAACACATTTTTTTTATTCAATTGGTGCAAGGGCCAATAGTGGGTACTCGCCAAAGAAATAAACACCTAAGCTGAAGTGAGGTTACCAACAGGAGACGAATTTTAGTATAGTCTGCAGCATTAACTAATGTAGTCTTTAGCCACTGCTCAGGCCTTAAAGTGATGAAAAAACCCATTTGAAAAAAGTTTAGTATAGTTTACACCATAAACTTTAATGTAGATTTTAGCCACTAGTTAGGTCTTGAAACAATCAACAAACCTATAAGGATGAACTCTAACAATGAAAACCCAACAGCACCCAACAAAATGATTCTCAAGAGAAGAGCAACCAAAACTCGAGTACCATTCCCTTTCACCCAAACATTTCTCTCATTTCCTGTCCCCAACCAAGATGAAAGAGCTTCTATCAATGGCTTGTAGGTAGAAACAAGGGACAATGAGAGGATAAATACACAATAGGATGATGATAAGTGATCTTAAGAAATAAAATTAGAGATGAGAAGAAAATTACAAGTATCTTTACAAATTCGATGGGCAATGAATAAATCAGAATTAGTTGTAGAAGGATTAGAAGACAATGGGATGATTGATTTAGAAAATGAACCTTCATGACCATCTATTACTGATTGAGAGTTTTGAGTACAAACTTCCAAATTACAACAATCTAAATGACTAGCACCATTAGGGTTCGAAAATTGAGTGACAATGGAGACATTCTCATTAGTAATTAAAGATGGTAAAAGCAGACAATGATGAGAATCAGTTTTTTTTTTTGAAATCAAGGAAAAGTATTATTATGTACAAAAGTACCATGGGGGTACTGCCTGTATACAAAACATAGTTACAAGTCAATCAAGTGGTTTATGACAATTCCAAAATCATCCCAATATTTAGTGTAAATCCATCTATCTCTAATGTTTGTAAAATTAGTCTCTATACCCTCAAATGTTCTCGTGTTCTTTTCTTTCACACAACCCAAAAAATAGTTAGTGGAATAAGGAACAAATGCTTTTTCTTTTTTTAAAAACCCACCCACGCCCACAACTTTCTACTCACATTATCAGCCATAACCCAATTTAACCCCAACAAGCCCAGAACTGTAGTCCAAATGCTGTATGTCACCGGACAAGTCAACAATAAGTGGTTGCACGTTTCCTCATTAGATTTGTAGAGGTAGTATCTATTTTTATTTTATTTTTTTTGAGATAAAAATTATGAATATATATATAAACAGGGTACCAATGGGGTACCACCCATACACAAATTTACAAAATTGTTAGGGTGTCAATATTTCTAAAATCCTCATCTCTAATGATGTCATGACCCAACACAA